TTCGAATCTAAACGTCTTCATGACAGCTTTATGGGGTAGTAGAACAGAAATAAACGCGAGCTCGACTGGAAATAAATATAGAAGTAAAGCTATTAGTGTTGTATGTAGGGTTCAAACGTTATTGGAAGCATGTAATAATGTCCTGCAGGCACTACTAGACAGATTGCGAGTTATTGCCGATTCTTTAACAACTCACAAAATACTGACGATGGGTAAAATAAACATTTTATTCAGTCTTAAGTTGAACACAACAAGCACAACTTAACTACAGCTGAAACTTCTACTTATAGATATTGATATTAACAGAAAAATTAAATTCAAAAGTAGATAACATATTCTAAGACTACACATAAATAGATTACTAAAATTGGCTTAGATAACTGCCGACGAGTATTTTAAAGTAGGGTTTCTTAAACTGTGGGTCGCGGGACCTGCAGCAGGGGGTCACCAAAAATTTTAGCAATTTTGATATTTATTTAAGTTATTATAATAATTTTACAATTACCAAATGTTTTTACGCAATTTGTCTGAAAATAGATAAAGATAAGGCAATACAGACAAAGAAAAAAACTAAAAGGTGTCGACGCATTCTTTTTATAATATACATGTTCATTTTCCTTGCTTTGCACATGACGCTGTCATTTCGTCTACTACTTCTTTAAAATTGTCCCATTGTTCTGTCTTAAAATTAGAAGTTAAAGTTAATGACCTAAAACTGCAATAGTATATTACAGTAAAAGTGAAAAAATTGACAGTTTCATTCACGCTTGTGTCGGATCTGCGCAATTGGCGTTTCACAAAATTTTTATAAATATTATAGGGTCCTGGGGGTTGCAAAAAATCTTAGTGATAAAAAGGAGTCGCGACTGTAAAAAGTTTAAAAAACCTTGTTTTCATCGGCTACCAAGAAGCTAAAGCCGGAATAGCTATAACCTGCAGCCTAAGCAAGTGTAAACAACTAGACCAAGTTCAGAAGTATTAATCTAAATATTCAAAGACCTCACTTTAAAAACACAAAAATCTAATTTTCATTCTGGTGAGGAATACGGGAAGGGGATATTATAGTAAAGACTTAAAAATTATAGTGACTTGTAAGGAACGAGTTTTTTACTAATCGCAAATTGTGGCTAATCCTAAGACCGTAAGGACTTGCTGCGTTCTCTTTAGAATTACTACATAGACTAAATTAGAATTACTACAGAGACTAATCTAAACATTCACCTTAAGTATACAAAAATCTGATTTGCATTATGGTCAGGAAAGAGGAAGTTACAGTAAAGACTTAAACGAAAATAACTTGCAAGGAATGAGTTTTTTACTAATCGTAAATTGTGGCTAATCCTCAACAAGGCTTATAAGGTATTTGATCCCATCATGCAGGCTTAAATGTTATAGGAACAGTTATAGCCTTTTTTCGTTAAAAAAGGTTTCCCGGAGGTGATAAACAATGCACTAAATTCGATTCCGTCATGCAGGTTTAAGTGTTATAGAAACAGCTATAGCCATTTTTCGCTAAAACTGGTTTTTGGAAGGTGATAAACAATGCACTAATTCTGATCCCATCATGCAGATCTAAGTGTCATAGAAAAAGCTATAGCCCTTTTTCGTTAAAAATGGTTTTCCGAAGTTGATAAACAATGCACTAATTTTGATTCCGTCACCCTGGTTTAAGTGTTATTGGAACAGCTTATAGCCTTTTGTCGTTAAAAATATGACGAAGACCTCGTTTAATAAACATTTTTTAACTCTCTGTGTGGTTGGTTCACTTGGAGTAAATACATTTTCTTTTTTCATTAGCTGTGTGAGCAAACAGAATAAAAACTGCAAGATGGGCTAGAAAGTCATTTCCTAAAACCAAGACAGGTCAAATATTAAAATGGTATTACATTTTTGAATTTCATCAACCTAAGTTCGGAACAAAGAATTTCCATTACAGTATCCTTCTTATTTTGTAATTACAATTTCTTTAAAAACTCTAGGGAACGCGGAAATACTTTATTGCTGGATTATTATTCCGGGGAAAAAATCTTTTCAAAATATTCATCTATGTAAGATGAAGTATCGTTTCAAAACTGTACAGAGACTGAACAAAAAAAAGAAAAAAAAAAGATCCCTGAATAAAGAGCAGGATAATTACCTTCTCCCGCATCTTTCTTTTAACCGGGCTATATTTTGAGATTGCACTCCATTTCTAGAAGACAAATGACCCAATAAAGCCCGGTTACTTACGAGATTATGAACGCGTCGGCTTTCTTTAATGCATTTCTTGCAGTTCTGAATCTGAAGCTGCTACGCATGACTCGAGGAAAAGATCCAACTGTACATTTGTTGAGATTTGGATTCGTTTCGGTTAAATGTCACTATGTAGAATTTCTTTTCCTTTGGAGAGAGTGATTTATTGGCAACAGCTTTTATTTATGAAAGGAAACTCTAGCTGTTATTTTTGCCATGAAGAATGTAAGAGTATATCACGAACGCAATTTAATAGAAGGAATTCCATTCCTATTTTAATGGTAAAATACATCTGGAGTTAGTTTGCTATTCTGAGTGTAATGAAATTTATTAACTCTGCATTTTCTCCACAGATCTCCATAACAGTCTCGCCACGCGTTTTTGCTTTCTTGCACGAAGTTAAAGGAAGTATTGAAATCACGAAAAATTCGAGTATCTTATTTCAACAGAAATACCCATTTTGACCGCTATCGAATGGAATTTCACGATGTTTTTGGGTGACATCTGTACATAAAGACAGAATAAAAGCCCCTTCTCCCCCCAAAAAATTATAAAACTGCTTTAAAATGAATTCAGAAGAGAAGTTTTCGTGGTGTCTGTACGTACGTATGTATATCGCATAATCAAAAACGAATAGCTTCAGAACATAGAAATTTTGTGTATGGGTAACATATAGTTGTGCACCTCCCTTTTTGGTTGCAAGCAGCACAAAAAGTAACTCTCTCTCTCTCTATATATATATACCCACTCTGTTACTCTTCGGTAAGCTCATTTTTTTAAAGTCTTATATGCTGGTGAATTAAGCATTTTTTGCTTTAAAAAAAGGATTGAATAATGTTCTTCTTTTCTTCTGGTTAAGGTTTTTATGCCTTTAGTAAATCTGTATGCAATATTTTCAGAATTATCAACAATTTTAAAGTTGTTTAAATGCCGCAAAGCGTTTTTTTATGGCGGCCATTGATTGTTTACATTTGAAACAGCAGACTAGTTAATTTGAAAAAGCAGACTAGTTAGTTAATCTGCATGCAATAGTTGTAGAATTATCAACAATTTAAAATTTGCTTAAGTGCGACTAAGCCTAAATTTTCTTATAGCAGCCATATTTGTTTATATTTGAAACTTAGCAGAACAGTGAATTAAGTCAATTTCTGCACCTTCAGTGTCTTTTTGCCGAATGGAGTCAAAAAAAAAAACTTTGAGTTTTGTGCATCAGAAAATCTGCCTTCTTGCCTGCTGACCGAATCGTAGAAACTCTAGTTTTAACTGTAAAATTGTTTTTGTAATTGTTTTGTTTTTGGTCTTTTATGTTTTTCTGTATCTTTCAAATTTTAATGAAGATGTTTTGAGTTTTAATGTATTTTTGCCTTGTCGAGAAGCTTCCGTATGGTTACTTCGTTTGTATCTCTGTTACTGCTTGGACGTCATTTTGCAGTGCTCTGTTCCTGTCGCAATAGTATTAAAAAATTTAAATGTTCTGTAATAGGCACGACTGGAGTACCAAATGAATTGTGGCCACAAATATGAATATAAGTACAAGATGAATTTAAATCGCTTCGATTTCTTCTTCAATATGGGTTGACGCTCTAAGCATCAAGTATCCACGTCTAACAACATCACTACGCTCCTCTCCTGCATCTTAGCTTTCCTACACCAGTGCTTCTAAAATTTGCTTTCATGATTCATATGTATAAATAAATATTTATGTATAATAAAATACGTGTATATACGTATGAATAAATATAAAATGAAAACTGAGCAATGCCCTCGCAAGAACTCGAACCACGGACCTCTCGAATGCGCGTCGAGCGTGCTGACTATTACACTACGAAAGCATGCTAAGATCGCAGAAAAATACCTTATATACTCCCCCTTTTAATGGGCGACTGGGGATTAGGGGACTCAGTAGTGAAATCTGTGTGGTGGAGATTGATTCATCATCCACCACATTTTTTTTAGTTCGGGCACCACTGTAGGAACATTAGGTAATTTCGAAGCAGGAGTTCTCAAAAATGAGCAATGCCTTCACCGGGAGTCGAACCACGAACCTCTCGAATACGCGTCGAACGTGCTGATCACTACACCACGAAGGCATGTTAAGATGTGGGGAGAAATACCTTATAATCTGATACAAGGAAGTCATGTTAATCTGATGTGGTATCCATCCTAATTCTAGATATTTCAACAGCAACGTCTGTGTGGTTGTGAAAGATGCAAAGGAAATGATAATCAGAATGCGATATGTAGTAAAACAAGTAATGATTGGCTCAAATTCTCTTTCTTCGTCGAGATAAGCAAGTATTTAAGCATTAAATAAGAAAATAAAAAATTATTTAATGAATTTTATCGTGTGTAAAATCATATGAAGCAATTTTTATTGATGTTAATATTCAGACTCAATTTTTCATGAGCTAAGATTAGAATTAAGTTTATTATTATTATGTTCTTTATTAATAATAATTCATGATTAATATTATTCTTTACAAAGAAAGAACAGTCACAGACTATTGCTATTAATTAGGACTAAATTTGGTATTTCGAACTTTTCAAGAAAGAATGAAACGGAATGAGGGTATTTTTGACTTTAGCAAAAAATAATTTTACAATAAAATATTTTGTTTCCAGATTTATTTTACACCAGTAAAATTTACATTATACGTTGGAGTTATAGGTAAATATTTAAACAGCTCATCATTTGACAAAACAGGATTTTAAGTCAATATACCACCATAATAGGGCAATGTACACATGACTAGAGTATATATCAAATAAGCGTTATCCATTTTTTTCAACATTTTTGCTTTAAAATTGAAAAATAAAATTTGAAATGTTTAAAAATTTTATAATTTTACATTAATTTAAATTTAAAAGTTATAAAACTAAAACGCCCTTTTGTTATATCACGTTGCTTCAAAAATTTTACCGCTTGTAGTTGAAATCAAAACTGGCTATTATTAGCCGTACAAAAATCATTCTTTTAAAAACAAAATCTAACAATCTTCTTCGAATAATTTTACCATTTCTATATAAATCTGACCTTAGGGTGATTATTACGTAACTTCCATCTGGATTACATTGCTCCGTTTTCATAAATTTCATATTTTAGGGTTCGATTTTCCAATAAAAATGTCATCGCTCCTATTTAACAAAGCTATGTCTCTCTCCAAAGCATCCATTCTCTTTTCAAGGTTAACTTTGCGTTTTATCCGTAAAGGAGATTCAGTCGCCAAAGGTAACGTCAAGTACTTTCTAAGAAGTTCATTTAAGTTCGCAACCAGTCCCTGCAAAGGTAAAGTACATGGTAAGGAAATGTATTTAAGAAGACGAGATCGTCATAGATGCAGAACATCGGAGATCGTCATAGATGCAGAACATCGAATCACAGAAATGTAACGGTATAATAAGTATCATTGACAAAAATTAACTTCATCCTTTACATGGGTTCAAGGAATAAAAACTTCTTGTCATGAATGGTAAATAATAAAAACGGCAGAGATGAACATAAACTTTTACTGAAAAACAGAAGAAACCTGGTTTTTCAGTTATCTTCCTCAGTGAAAAGCTGTCGAAGCAAAATGCTGTAATACTTTAAGTCAGGGGTTCCCAACCCTATGCCCAAGGGCACCATGACGCCCGCCAGTCGTCTAACGTGTGGCCGCAGCTGCGCGATCACAGTAAAAATGTTCAGTTTTCAATAAATTTCCAAGTGAAAGTTTTCTCATTTTTAATGAAATAGAAATTGCGTCCAACTGCTCAAAACGAAATGCGATATGTGCAGGTATTATTAACGCTATCCAACTATAAATTCACCTTGAAAAAGTAAATGATTCTCGCCGTCCAATAGATATTCTGGGTTGTGCTCTTAGGAACAAAAAGTTTGGGAATCCCTGGTTTAAGTTACGCGTTCACAAGCTGCCTAGATTTTGTACCCCATAAATAAAACAAAAAAGTACACATGGATTTCCAGAAGTAAAGAATGTACTGCCGAAAAGCAAATTTCGAAAGTATAGCTGAGTATGCTAATATCGCATGTTATAGCCAATCCCGATTGGCAATCAGAGGCTTTAGACAGTCGTCAAGACCTCAACATTGTGAAGGTTTCGCTAAATTTCATTAGATACTGGTACAAATTGCTTATAATTTTCGTAGGATAATTTTTTATGTTATTCGTATTCCTCTGGCTGAAAGAGGACGAATGGCAGATAGTGAGCGCAGGGGTGCCGTCCAGTGCACTGAAGCAAGACAGTCGACCAAAGATGTCGTTCTTCTCTTTGCCATTGATTATTCTGTGATTTATCGAACGGGAAAACAGTTCGAAACAAGTCAAACAGTTGTCCTGTGACTTGTACTTGGTCGACCAAAGGTTAGATCGATTTATTGCGACCGGAGCTCTGTACTTCGTTGAACAGAGGATAGATTTACGTATTGCTATTGTTGTAGGGGTCTCTCGTCGTACAACCGACGAGTGATATCCACAACAACTACATCCATGATTACAGCCCCACTTGGGAAAACAATATCTGCTAGTACTTTGCGAAGGCTTCAGGCGAAAGGACTGACGGCAGAGTGTTTGCGCCCACGAACTACCCAGTCCAGAGCTCCAAGATTAAAGTTGTTTCTTCAACATCTCGATTAAGCTGCATCCGATTGGCAAATCGCTCTTTTCTCGGACGAGTCCCGATTTTCCCAGAAATCAGACGATAAGCCTGTAAGGGTCTGAAAACGCACCTAGCTACATATGTTTAGAGACGGTTCTGTGAGGGCTGCTCGATATCGGGATGAAGTCCTAAACCAAACTGTGACACTTTACGCTACAGAAGTTGATGCTGATTTTCCATTTATGGATAACACTCTGCCCGTCCCCATCGAGCCAACGTCATTAATGGAGTACTTGAAGAGTGAGTGCATTTCTCTTATGGTGGAGTGGCCGCCGTATTCCCCTGACCTTAACCCCAGTTGAAAATATTTGGAATGCCTTAGGGCATGCTATCTAAATGCTCTAATGGAGGAATGACCATCGCTAGCATCTGCGATGTTAAATCACTTCGTTGAAAGCGTAAGAATTTGATGCAAAGTTTGTGTAGAGGTTCTGTGTGGTCACATACTTTAATAATATTAGTTTTGTTTGTTTGGTTGTTAATAATCCAAATCTGACGTCTTCAATATAATTTAATTTTTAATTAAATATTGTTTTATTCTTTGTACGTAATACTGTTTTCTTATATGCATAAGCCCATTTTCTGCGTTCATGCGCAATATGGTGTTAATGATAGCTTTACTTTGTTCATTTTACAGTCGCATGCTCAAGTGTTGGAAGCCAGTGTATCTACTATCATAACATTATATTATATAACATAAACGGCACCAATTACATTTATTTGGAATAGTCATTTACACCTTTCGTGTAAAACTTTTACCACAAAAATGTAGTTTAACGGTGGCAGCCCTGACCATAACGACAAACACGCTCGCTCCATTCGGTAGCTCTGCAGTCAGACAGATTTATTTATGAAATAGGGTGATGGACATGACTATTGCTGTACGGATTTTTACCGCTCTTCTCTTCCCCGTTTATTTCCACTGCATGGAAAACACGGAGATAAGAGCACAAGTTTAAGGAGGCAGAAAATGACTTTTATTTAACCTAACATAATATGCAAATCATCATTTGTAATTAATTGTTTGACAGCAAAGTGTTTAATTTGTGCATTTATTTATTTACATATTGGTAAAACTATGAGTGCTTTTCAAAACTTAATTTTCCTACATGCATATAACTCTATGATAAAGTGTAATAAATATGATTGTATAATAATTTTTATTATAATTAATTAGTTATATTTTATTGTATAATTTCAGTCTTATATTATCAAATCCGATGGATTCTAATATAATTAGAATTAATAATAATTATTAGAATTGATTACAATAATTTTACGGTAAGTAATTCTTATAATTATACTATAATTAATAATTATTACATATCTTAAGATATCTTTACCTTTGAGCTAAAATTTATGTACATTTAATACAAAATGAAAAAAACAAATTCCTTAATAATTAGTTATATTAATTTTATGATAATAAAAGAAATATCACTAATGAATTAATATAAATGATTATATCATAATAAACATTTTCCATATTTCATTATAATTTTTAAGCTAAAATCTGTATCATTATTAAATATACTTGGATTTCTTGTATAAATTCTTTGCATTCTTGTATAAAAGATCCAAAATTGGCAAATGTCGCGTTAAATCAACCATGATCAGGGGAGATCCCCCTCAAATGGCGCGGAAACCTGTTGACCCTTTTCCTTTTCTTTAAACTACGAAATGAATACTTCTACTAAAAAGTATAGTTCCATTACTTTAAGTGATATTTACAGCAAAATATGCACTGTTCATGTAAAACTAGTAATTTATGAAATACAAATTTTCAACATTTTTGGTTTCTAAGGTAGCAAATCAATGTGAATCTTAGCTTTTATTTCTGAGAATATGAAACAAAGGCGAGAAACACAACTAACGAGAGGATCACTCTATAAGACAGGACTTTCCCTCCTTCAATAATAAATTTCCTCTTCCCGCGAAAGGTTGAAAACTCATGTGACCTCCCTCACGTAATTAACAGCCCTTTTGGGCGATTCTAAATGCTTTGATAGAGTCCTAACCAAGGTTGCGTTGGCAGCTGTCGAACTATAATGTAATGTACCATTATAATAGCTTGCTGTAGGACAATAGTGAAAATGATACTTAGGAAACCGGGGGGGGGTCGAAGCAGAGAGATCTGTACCTAGGCATTTTCGGAAACGGGAGTATATAATTCATGGACCTGGTGGTTCTGGAACTTGGGGTTGGATTGTCTATACGGTCTGACCTCGGGGGTCAGCGTAAGTCCTAGAACTGCTGGCTATGTGCCTACGTGGGGACGACACCGCTGTGTTGAGATAGCCTCGAGTTTGTTAGGCAATGCCCTTATGCGGCGGGCTGTCCGCGTAGTTTTGGAGGGAGCAATTTGATGACCAGCTAAAAGTTCAAATGTCAGTATAGCTTGCGATTCTCGTGGTTATTTTGGATTTTTAACTAACTATTATAGTAATTTAGAAGTCAAACAACAAAAATCAGCGCTATATTTAAAAAATTTTCACAGGACTAGTTTCGATGTTTTTACCGAACCACCATCCTCAGCTGCAAATCCGCAAATGAACAAAGATAGGAAATAATGATTAAATAAGATAAGAAAGCCTGGACAAGAATAAGCAAGTGGCGCCATCTGTTGGTGAAACCAGAACTAAAACATAATTTCTTTAAAGGCAGAAGGAAAATTTGGATTGGAATTAGGATCGTTAACTAGAACAGAAAGAGTTTTATGAATGTGAAATGCCTCTAGAAAATCCAGTTCTCCAATGGAAGATGTTTCTTGAATAATTTTGGCAGCAGAAAAATTGAAAGTGTGATTTTCGGACCAACAATGTTGAGCAACAGAAGACTTCTATGCTTCGTGTTCCTTGACGCGAAATTTTAAGGCTCTCTTAGTTTGGCCAATGTAAATTAAACCACACTGGCAAGGAATCCTATAAATACCCCAGGAATTCATAATCGGAATAGGGTCCTTGAGTATGGAACTCGGAATTTTATTCGTGGGAGAATAAACGACCCGAAAGTTAAATTTCTGCAAAATATGTGCAACTTTATAGCTAATTGATGGAAAGAAGGGAATGACAACAGAATTTTTATAATCTCCTAAAACAAGAGTGTGCCTTTTAGTGTGTTGAGATGAGAATTTTTTAACTGCTTGATTAATAATGTTGGGTGAAAAGCCCCTGTCAATAGCTATTGCTTTTAAATAATTTAGTTCTTCATCAAGGGCTAGTTTGGAGGAGCAAACTTGAAGAGCACGGAAAACATAGGAATAAAATGAAGCTAACTTTTGTTTAGTCGGATGACATGATTTAAAGTGTGGTGGAAGGCAAACCGATGAAGGTTTACGGTAAACCGTAGTACTGAAGTTGGATGTGTTACGTGTGACCAGAATGTCGAGAAACGGAAGAGAATTGCAAGTCTCAAGTTCAAAAGTGAACTGAATAGCAGGATCAATAGAATTCATTGTTGAAAGAACTTTATTTAAATCATCTTTATTACCTTCAAACAGGGTAAAAGTATCGTCTACGTAGCGGAACCATGCCGGGAAGTTTAAAGTTTCAAACAATTTTCATTCATAATAATGCATGTAGATATCAGCCAGGATGGGACTGAGGGGGCTTCCCATGGCTAATCTCCCTCAGTTTGCTTGTAATATTTATTTCGGAAAACGAAATGTGTTTGTTTCAAACAGAGTTGAGTGAGAGAAATTAGATCATCAATTTCGATGCAAGAGAAACGAAATTCGCGAAGTCTGGTTTCTAATGCACCCTCCACTGGGACATTGGTAAATAATGATTTTACATCAAAAGAAATCATGAGTAAATTACTAGGAGAAATGCTTTTAACCTTTTTTACAAACTCTATTGAATTTTCTATGGTGTAAATGTTATTGTCTAATAGAGTTGAAAATCTAGAAACTAAATATTTAGCTAATGGATACGAGGCAGTACCTAAATTTGATAGAATAGGGCGGAAAGGAATGCCACTTTTATGAATTTTGGGAAGAGCATATAATCTGGCACAATTTGCAACAGATGGGATAAGCGAATGTTTTAAGTTGCGTGACACCTTTGATGTAAGTGTTCTTATCTATGACGACTATCTGGCCACCTTTGTCGGCCTTTGAAATGATAATATCCGGGTTAGAATGAATTTCGCGCATTGTAGCTCTTTCTCTCGCAGTTAGATTTGGTTTCAAAGGTTTATTATTGAATTTCACATTATGAGCGCTAAGATGCCTAATTATTTCTTTCTGTGAGTCTGAAACTTTACTGAACTTGAAAGCTTTTTTCGATAGGAGCCAAAATCTTTGGAATTGAGGGTTTACAGGTTTGTGAGAAGTTAAAATTATATTTTAGAAGTCTCTCTTGTTCTTCTGAATGACTAACATTAGAAATATTAACTATCGGCTTGATGTTTACAATAGGAAGATTTTTGGAACTACCTAACTGGAAGACTGTAAAAAAAGTTTTTCGAATTTAACTGCAAGGGTGTTTTTATGACGGATAACTGCATTCTCCGTTCTAGACCAAGACTTTTGTTCAAGGGCAGTGGAATTTTAGATATGATTAGCGAGTTCCAGATGAAACTTATAGAGTTCATGTTCAATTTTGGACAATTGTTGACGTGTATCCCTTATGACGGACCGAAGTAAGGCAAGCTTGCAATTTAAACAGAATTCTTGAAACGCGACTCGAAGGTTTTTTGATTAGATTTGATTTGAATAAATTGGGGATCAATTTTTTACATTTACATTTAAGTAAAAAGTCAAGATGATTCAGGAATTTTTGCCGTTTCAGGCGTAATTTAGTGAAACGATTAACGGATGAAGACATGATAAACAATGCAGAAAATCAAACTAAATTAACTAAGCAATAAGCACACACAAAACAGCAGAAAAATCCCTCACTGAAATGAATAGAAAACAAAACTTTTGTAAGCAAAATGCATGAAATCAGACAAGCAAAGCACAATATCCAAATATACAAAACATAAACATAACTTGAAAATTGCAAAAGAGAACTTACCGAAACTCATGCAATCACAAAATGGCTGCCACACAAAAAATAAGCCTAAACTAAAAGGCACACTCTTGTTTTAGGAGATTATAAAAATTCTGTTGTCATTGCCTTCTTTCCATCAATTAGCTATAAAGTTGCACATATTTTGCAGAAATTTAACTTTCGGGTCGTTTATTCTCCCATGAATAAAATTCCGAGTTCCATACTCAAGAACCCTATTCCGGATATGAATTCCTGTGGTATTTATAGGATTCCTTGCCAGTGTGGTTTAATTTACATTGGCCAAACTAAGACTATGTTAGAAAAAAAACTATGTTAGAAAAAAGGAAACACAGAAGTATTCTGTTGCTCAACATTGTTGGTCCGAAAATCACACTTTCAATTTTTCTGCTGCCAAAATTATTCAAAAAAAAACCTTTACATTGGAGAACTGGATTTCTAGAGGCATTTCACATTCAAAAAAATATATTTCTCTTCTAGTTAATGACCCTAATTCCAATCCAAATCTTCACCTTCAGATTCTGAAGAAATTATGGTTTTAGTTCTGGTTTCATCCAGCAGATGGCGCCAGTATGCTTATCTCCTGTCCAGGCTTTCTTTATCTTATCTTATCTAATCATTATATCCTAATCTCGTTCATTTGCGGTTTTGCAGCTGAGGCTGGTAGGTTCGGTAAAACCATCGAAACTAGTCCTGTGAAAATTTTGTAAATATAACGCTGATTTTTGTTGTTTGACTTCTGAATTAATATTTATTCGGGGTGTTATTGTGTCTTAATTACCTATTATAGCTAAAGAAATAAATTATGAGAAATCTTCGATGCAAAACATTCGATTGGCTTACGACTTGTTCATATGGCTCATTTGGCATATTCACCAAATTTTACATTTCGTGAAGTCTTCCTTGATTGGATTTGCTAGATCCAGTATTCCTATCATATCAGATCTTTCAGATGGAAACACCTGACCACAAATAAAGTCAATGGAATAGTCTGTGTAAAAAAATTGTTGCAATAGAAATAACATGAGAGCGAGAGGTGTTAGTAACATATACCACGCTACGCAATGACAATTATGTGTACGACATTTTTTTAAAATAATACAGAGAAATGTGATCATAATGTTCACCTTTTGGGATGACAAGACGGAGAAAATTTGGTCGAGCGGTTTGAAGATTGTTCAATACTTGTATTTTGTACTGGGATCGATCCCAGACGAACAGGCAAGCTGCATGGTAGGGTTTCGTGGTTCTCCCCATGTCTAATGTGAATAAGGGATAAATTTCCTTAAAACGCTCTCCACGAAGTCACGATTCCCTTAGACACATAGCTCTCTTATGCTCTGCCATATCAGAAAAATCAAACTAATATTTGGTCCCTCTGAAAAATGATTTATTTCTGCTGCTGTCATTGCTATTTTTATTACACACTACTAAAGTGGCCTAGGTCCTAGTGGGAAAGAAGCCCTAGTGGGCCAAGGCCAGTAGTGCCACGAAATCTGCTTATTTTCGTTACATGGATGGGTCATAAATATTTATACTTATTATAAAACTTGACAATTCACCACTGAGCACAGATAACGAAACACCGAAATTCTCTTATTTTTTATTATTCAGAAACCGAAATTTTCGAAGTTTATAAACATATCGAAAATGCCTTTTAAACTACCATAGGTGCATTCCTGGTTGAACACAAAACATCCAATGAGAATTCAATATCATGCCACGCATTCTTCCACATTTCAGGTGTCACTGTGTGAATGGTGTATGTGATGCGCTGTCAAGACCACAGTATCAGGAATTGCTGTTTGATATCGAATGTCCTCAATATCCCCAAAGAAAGAAATCTAAGGAGGGTATTACGTTAAAAAGTAGAGATACTGTGTATCTGTTTGAAGCAAGGTATGTGACATGCTGAAAGGAGCGAGAAAATATCTGGAGAAGCATATTGTTGGAAACTGAATCCTCGTTGACTATTTTGCATGTTACCAGAGATACTCGAAATGGAAGTTTAATATAAGTTTTTAACAACATTATAAACTATGAGAGTTTGGCTTAAATGCTTCGTTATATGTGCACAATAATGAGTTACGATATTTTGTAATGAGGATAAACATTTATTGGCACTATGATATTTATTTACATATCCTAATTTGAATAAGTTACGAACTTGCTTAAATCGACACTACTTTGAGAGACGCATCTTTTGCTTCATTTTGCTAGATCCAGTCGTTTGTCGCCATCGCCATACACAGGAATTAAAGGAATTTTAGCAAGTTAGAATACTCATTATTTCCGTTATAGTTAACTACCATCGTTATGAGGCATGGTTTGTAGGAAAAAAATACCCTTAAAGTGCTCATTCTTAAAAAACGAAGTGTAGTGGAGTAGGTGGAATGGCGGAAATGGACCAAAGATCCGGCATAAGAAATAAAATGTTAATTTATATAAATCTTACAAAGTTGTCTAGTACAGAATTTCAGCTGTCCTGTGGGTAAGTCCCGAGTCTAATTGCTTATAGAAACGTACAAATTGACTTCTAAAAGTTGCTTACAAACTACGCATTTCGTACTTATGTGAAATAATCTTCATATTACAGAATGATATAGCAATCTAAGAGAACGGCAACGATTTGGAGTTAGAAGAATTTCTTTTTAATTTTTCATATGATAACACTGCATTTCTTACGTTACTATAGTTTCAGAACACATAAGATAAACTTAAAGTTGGGCAAGGCTCAGAGAAGGAAAGGTATTGTAATTATTTCGCTTATTTTTTCGTGAATCAAAAAATATCTTTCTAAAATTCTCCCTATTCAGTGCGACCTACATGATAAAATAAACCATAATAAGAATAAAAGTTTACAGCACATATATTTTGCAGTCGGCTATATTTGTATTATCAACATAAAATTGATAACAGTTTTATTCGGATTAATTGTGAGAATAATTTTTCGGAAGCAACTTGTACTTTAAAATAGCTGAGCAAGAAGATTGAAGGTTGTAACTTTCATTTACATACATTTTGAATTTCTTCCTTTTCCTCCTCACTCATCTTCCGTGGTACGTCTGTTACGCTTTGTATGAAACTGTCAAATTCTTTTTTTGATTTCTCAAAATTCTTTCGCATGTCCCATACGTACTTCGGAGTTTTACCATACTCCTGAAAAAAAAAAGGCATCATTGCTCACACATGCAAGAAATATAATGGAAGCTACTTTAAAAACAATTTATATCGGCAAAAGGCTCCGGTATTCCCAGGCATGTCTTCCATTTTTAACAAAGTACAGTGTTCCTCAAAATTAAAGCATAATGTAGTATATAGTATATATAAGTATATATAAAATATGTTCTCATTAATTAAGCTTTCAACCATTATCCAATAGTGTTAATATTTATGTTAATTATCTGCAATTAAACGCAAAAGTGGACAACGAATTAGGTAACTGACAGGGTGTTGCGCAAACGAAGCTTGTCGGATACGGTATCTGTAGTGTTGTTTAATGGTGTTTTCATTTTTACTTAGTTAATGGGCTTTTTAAGAGTGATAAATATTAGTTGTGGCTCAAGATAAATTAGTTGTGGCTCAAGACACGATTTAAGAGTAACGCCAAAGTGGCGGTTAATTTGTAGATTGGAAAGAGACGTTTGCAAATGGATGTCACCCAAACCCTAAATATTCTTCATTATATAGTTGCATTTTTACATGTTCGTGAGATTTGGAGTGATTGGCGACAACACTTAATGAAGTATCAAAGCACAATTTATTTTCCAGTATTAATCAGGACAGCTCCCCAGTTTTCAGGCTACAACGGTGAAGACAGCTTCACGGCAAAACACTAAATACAGCTCCCGACTCGGTCGATCGCTCTCGGAGCTCACCACACTCAAGATATTCTTCGAGGTCAAGATATTTCACTCGACGATGCGCTACGATATACTTCATAGCCTCAATGGTGCACGCTCTCAATGCACCTGACGAGACACTCTCAGTAAAACTGCCGATACACTACGACGCATTGTTACTCCACGTACAGACAGGAGACCGCATTTAAAGTTAGATTTCGTTATTAGTCTAATACTAATTTTTTTCAATTTGACATTTCCAAAGCATGAATATTTCCGTCATTTAAAACACTTCTGTAATTGGGAACATATGACCGTCGCCCAAAGATTGTGAAAATAAAGACTGGGTAAGAACTTTTAAACTGAATAAAGAGATAGGCGTGTGTATGTGCACATATAAATTAAGCCAAAACATTATGACCAGCCCTACATTTTGCGATGAACGAGCTTGGATGACGTGGAAGGCACGTGATTAGGTGGAAGTGGTATTTAACTGCTGCTGGAGAGTCTGAAGAATCATTCTTTCACTTACATCTGTGTGTGATGGGAAAGGCTGCGGATCTAAGCGACTTTGATAGAGGGCAGATTGTAATGGCTCGAAGGCTCGGAACAAGTATTTCCGAAGCTTCACGACTCGTGGGTTGTTCGCGATCTACAGTTGTTAGTACGTATGAAAAGTGAATGAATGACGGTGAAACCAGCAGTAGACGACGTGGTGTTGGACGTCCACACGCTATGAAAGAAAAAGGTCGTTGGAGACTGTCTCGCATGGTGAAGAAAAACCGGAGCCAGACAATGGCTCAGCTGACAGCCGAATACAATGCAGGGCCAAGTAGAAAAGTATCAAGCACACTGTTCAGCCGACACTGTTGGATCTACGTAGCAAACGTCCCACTCATGTGGCTTTGCCGACCAAGCGTCATCGCCAACTGCGCCTGCGCTGGGCTGGGGAACATCGCAACTGGTCCATGGATCAGTAGGAGAGAGTTACCTGGTCAGATGAATCATGGTTTGTCATTCATCACGCCGATTGTCGTGTCAGGATACGCCGTCTTTCAGGCGAATAGTTGCTCCCTCAATGCACAGTAGATCATACGCAGGCCGGAGGTGGCGGTATTATGCTCTGGGGAACGTTCTCTTGGGCGTCTCTGGGACCCATGGTTGTGGTAGAGCAGACCATGAATGCTACAGGGTATTTGAACATCATTGCGGATCAGTTGCACCCTTACATGGCTTCTGTTTCTCCAGCTGGAAATGGAATGTTCCAACGGGACAACGCCACATGTCACAAGGCTACAATTGTGTTGTAGTTGTTCCAGGAACTTGATGCTGATTTTCAGTTAATGTCCTGGCTGCCTAACTCACCGGATCTCAATCCAATAGAACACATTTGGAATGTCATGGGACGGCAGCTCAGAGGTCAAAGACCACCAATTCGCAATATCTCGGATTTGCGTGACCGTTGCTACAAAATCTGGTACAATCTGTCTCCGGCCATCTATCAAGGACTTGTGGCATCCATGCTAAGGCGGGTTGAAGCTCTGTTGCGCGCCAAAGGTGGCCCAACTCGTTATTGACAGGTGGTCATAATGTTTTGGCTCTTGAGTGCAAATATATTTTATTGTAGTCTGCAGTAAGAACCATATATCTATATACATATGTATACATTTGTTACTGCCGACTGCAATAAAAAATACAGTTGCACAACTAGATCTTATAATAGTCCCATAAACAAAATTTCAAAGCTCTACTATTAATGGACTTTGATTAATGCAAAATACATTCACACATACGTACGTACACACATCACGAAAAAATCTTTTCTGAATCCATTTTACAATCCTTTTTGGATTAAAAAAAAGTCCTTTATCCTGTGCGTATGATCAAAACATTCGCCCAAATAAATTCGGGAATGGTCAAAAGAGATATTTCCGTTGAAATATGATACCCGAAATCTTTTGCAATACTTTGTACAAGTAAGTGAAAAGCAGTCTCTTTGTGACCAGGTTGTCAAAAAATTATTGAACTGAGCAATGTTATCTCGAACTTCCTGAAAACCATGTTATGAAAGCGCTTCTCGGAGTGTACAGTTATTTGAAACCGTTGCATTCCAGTCTTAGTAACTTAAATATATGGCTAATCTTTGGAATATGGTAACAGGTAGTTTGGCGACATTTTGGTAAGGCGATAAAAGTTACTAGCTAGGACTTAAGCAGTGTACATGGATAAAGTCAAGAGTGTGCGCAATGCCATTTTTGTGCAATTCTGGGATTTTCTTTTTAAGTGAAAATAGGTCTATGTGTACATGGATACCGTGTATGTGCAATTCTTAAAAGCGCGGCAAGCAGTGGGCGATACTTTTGTTCCATAAAAGTTCTAGCATAAGGGTAATCGGCTAGCAGAAAAAAAATGTTGAGTTAAAAAAAAAAGTATGCCTTTACTTCGTGAAAACAAAATGGCGTCCAAAAAAAAAAAAAAAAAACTAGCAAGTTGCTGTAGCAGGGTCACCAAATTTTTCCCCCAAAAATTGCCAAGTTATCATAATCCGAAGATTAACCAAATATATTTTAGGCATGATGATTGTATTTATTTCATTTATTATAATTATGAACTGAGCGTATGTTGTCCACGATGTTCCGAACTGTACGCTTTGAAAGTGTTTCCGGTAAGCAGTAGAAAATTGACAATTTGTATTCAAGTCAAAATACTTCGAGCATGACTTTGTCTAATGCATTTCATTTCTGTCTAATAAAAACTACCTTCTGATTTTGAACAGAGCACATGAGAGAAATATAGGAGCAGGGTGCATTAATGGATAATTCCTTACCTCTTTCAGACAAAATTTAGGCACAAGACCAGAATCTTCTAAGTCGATAATATCTCCTCTTCGACTGTCTGCAGTTTTTCGGGCAGGCGTGGTTGCCGGTCTCTTAATAGCATCCACAGCATTTTCCTTAATAAAATTCCTCTCGAACTTATCATTTAGCCGAGGTAGGGATCCACTTAAACAGGGCAGCGTAGACTGTTTCTTTGGTTTCCTGCAGAGGCATTCTACAGCTTTAGCTCCTAAGAAAGTTCAAGACCGAATTACTCAGTTATTGCAAGACAAGAAAATCTGCGAAGACATTTCTCTTTTGCATGTATGATAAGTCTAAATTTTTAGATTATTATAACTACCTCTAGAGATGGATTCTTCTGTCACCAAATAGTAGGATTAGCGTCAATAATGGGTTACTGAAAGTCCATATAGACGCATAATATTGAAAAAAAAATGATAATATGAAAAATGTACATTGCCCTAGCCGCAATTTGAATGCCGGGACACCCAGTTACGTTTTGGACGGGCTATCCAATTACATCCCGAAAGTGAGCGGAAAGGAGGAAGAAAATACCTTTATATGCATCCATTTTTAAAGGGCAATTGGGGATTAAGTGATTAATTTGAAACATTTATTGGACATGAATACAAATGGTGTAGACCAACTTGAATGTTACAATAGATGTTCGAAGTTTGCACCATCAGACGCCAAACATGCCTGACACCGACGGACCATTGATTGCCGGAAATGTTCAAACACACCGGGAGTTTCTTTGATTGTAGCAGCTGCGCAGGCGAGTCTTGCCACGAAATCTATTTCAGACACAACAGGATCGTGATACACGACACTTCTGATGGCTTCCCATAAAAAGAAATCAAGGCTCGATAAAACCGGTGACTGTAGGGGGGAGGGAAAGAACAGAACACAAGAGGAGAGAGGGAAAAATATTATTGGAATTACGAGTTTTTAACGTGGCCATCTTCGCAGATGATAACTGATGCATGCGGGATATTCTTGATTGGAATGACGAATGTAATATCGCAGGAGGAAATCAATATAACTGCACGTTTTGCAGCATCTACCAATTCTGACATATCACATGGAATTGATGTGTACACCCTAGGTTTCAGATAACACCAGAATAAAAAATTCATTTCAAGTTAAGTCGGGGAATCTCGGTGGCCAAGAAATTGCCCTGTTATGATAGATGACTCTATCTGCAAAGGTTCTATACTTTAAAAACTAGGAATTCCAATAAAAGCGTTTTTCCTTCTCATATCTTGTGTTGCCACTGGTCCTTTATAATCTCTTTCTTGAAAATGTTTTACGCCGGTAATTTCTCTCATGAGTGCATCGCTCCAACTCCATTTATGGTTTTTTAATGCGCTGATCAATTTGCGCAACAAAAATGTAGGTGCTGCCATTTGAAAATTTAGAAATGCTTTCACTGTAACCGTGACAGCTACTTTAAACTGTTTTAAATCATTACACTATTGGGCGCATAACTTGAAATAATGATATTACAATTTTTATTTCGATCGGCTGAGCGGATAGGCCTATGATGATTCATATATCGAGGAAGTTATTTTATGCCCACTCGGTATTTTTCATGCTGGAAAACATTAATATACTGATGATGATTACAGTCAAAAACTTTTTTATAAAAATTCTCGGCAATCTGTACATATACTGAAAGAAAGACTCTCTCTCTCTGTGTGTATGTGCGTGTCTTTCGTTTGTGCTGCGTGTAAGTTAATAGACCCAGGGCCAGAAAATTTGGTACATAGGTGCATCTAGACAAGAGCAAGTGCACCTCGAAACGAGGTTTTCCAAATTCGAATCAGATTTCTTTTTATTTTATCTTTTTTGATGAAATCGCATCATTTTGAATAGTTTCATTCTTTTAGAAATCTGGATTTGGTATTAGTTTATCATTCAGTGCTTTGTTTATTGGATTGCTGACTTTGAAAATATGAGATAAAATATTTATTGCCTTTAAAAAGTTCTTTCGCTAGTTATTCCTTATATTTTTCTTTTCTCCAAGCGGATCTGCTCTTGATTAAAATGTAATTCAAGCAGATCAGGATAGTTTACACTTAAATTATCTAAACAGTTTTTGAATGAATATTGGAACTGCTCTTGTAAACTGTCATTCAGTCTTTAAAAACTGATTCTACTATTTTCTATTAAAGAATATAAAATGGTTTCACCTTCTGCAAGTTTCCTTTCACCGCTGTGCTTTCTCAAATATTCGTGTGGCTTTTTACCAGAGCAGGGCGGATATCCCATTGTTTTCGGTACAGAGGATTTTTTAGATTTGTAAAATTCCTTTACAGAAGAGTTATGCTTGGACTTGTACCTAAAAAGAGAAAGTAAATAAGAGCGCAACATCAGAAAACGTTTTAAATTGCTGAGAAAATTTTAAGTTTATTTACTGTAATGTATGTTGTCGCCAATAAAGTCTGCATGGCGATATTTGCGCCTGCGAAACGGAAAAGTAGCAACAGGTTAAATACTCAAAAAACAATGTAAGTACATAGTTTTCTTTTACTCTATAATTGTATACTTAGCCGCCCAGATGGTATAGTGGTTAGGGGCGCCTGACTACGATACCAGAGGGCCCGGGTGCGAATCCCGGAGAAGGCATGGATGTAAAATTGTCTGTCCCTTCATAGGAGGTAATGGTGGCCGCCTATTAGGTGCCTCCACAATAAAATGGCTACCACTTCTGGCCTTAGTGGCCAATGCCGTTATAGGCAAGTGCCCGCCATTTGTATATATAAAAAAATAATTGCATACTTCAGTTTTTATTAAAAATATTAATAGACTGTTTTCAAAAATTTCCGAGATATTTATTGCCACATATGTTGTAACTTAATTTAAAGGACTTGAATTTATGTAATATTTAAATTCTTTTAAACGCTAGTATGATGTTTTTAATTCGATATTCAATTTAAGTAATATTTTAATCCAATTAAACTTTGGCGCAATGTTTTTATAGTGGTGTTTTTATTCTATTCCTTGCCATATGAAAGTAATAATTTAACCTTACTTTAGTATTTTATACTCATAGTAAATGTATTTATTTACATTTGCCTGCCATCTTAAAAAACGACATTTTCAACAAAAATTTAATCCATTGTTTTTAACGATATTAATTTTTTTTAAGTTTCGAATACTTTACTAAGTGTAAAATACGTAAAAACAAAGTTTTTTTTAAGATGGCTGATGATTGTAAAAACCGCGCCAACGTAAATCGCCAAAAGTTCGTGCAACCGTCTACCAAAATAGCACCATATTTTGGTGTATTCAAAGTTTTAAAATTGTTTGAACAAATTTATAAGGTGGGCATTATTACATAAAATTGTTATTAGACAATTGTCGGGGAAAGTGCAGAATCGCCCACTGCTTGGCGCGTTTTTAAGAATTGCATATACTCGGTATCCATGTACACATCGACCTATTTTCACTTAAAAAAAATCCCAGAATTGCATAAAAATGGCACTGTTCACTCCCTTGACTTTATCCATGTACACAGCGACCTATTTTCACTTAAAAAGTCAAAGAAAATTGACAAATATCCAATTCTTCTTACTCTTGTAAAAAGCACCAAACAAACGCCAAGCAAATAAGTGGGCGATTCGGCATTTTAGCCCATTTGCCTATCATATATTGTATTGTTTGTAAAAGTTAACATTTTTTTTTTTTCAAAAATTGGAATAAAACTTAGTTTAGACTTTTTTTACTATTTTTCCTATTGTATTTGTTAGAATTCTAATGTATTTGTTACTTTAGAAATAAAAATTCACGCATTTAAGGATTATCTGAACCAGTTAAAAAATGTATGTATGTATGTATGCACGTGTGTATGGATGTTTGTGAATATATGTGAGGGTGTATACACATACATACGTACTTATGTACATGCATACATGAAAATATGCATTCATACACACATGCGTACTTACACACGTTTCTGAATCCGGTCCCGATAACAGAAGAGTACCGAATACTGAATTAAATCGTCCAAAAAGTGCGCTAAATGTGAAAAATCACCAATGGAGCTCATTATCAAGAAACAAAATAGTTTCACCATTTTAACTCACCTGGCAGATTTTCTTTCCTTCTCGGCTTCATGTGCTTTACTTCCAATTAAATTATAAATGCTTTCTCCGAAGAAATGGTGATTCTTCGGGAGTGGAAAAAGAAACATAAGGATACCTAAAATTCCTTTCCTGTTTATAAGTTTGTACACACAACGCACCACTAACATCGACTTTTATGAAACACTGTCGATTAAGGTAATCCGTAATATTTAAAAAGCTTTACATCATATATCTCGTGAGGTATTATTTTAAAATCCAATACATTTCACTTTTGATGTTTTATAGAGTTTACGTTTCTAACTCGGCTTATTTTCTTTAAGCCACAATCACGTGAATATGAAGCATATGCAATTGTACCTAAATTTAAAAAATATTTTTTTCCAATTAAACCAAAAAATAATGTCATGTATATCACTTTGAAAATAATAGACTGAGATCTAATAATGACAATGAATTTTGTTTCCTTGAAACAGGAAGTCTGATATGGAGCGAAAACTGTTTTGGAGTTTATTAAAACATCACGAACTGTAGAATTAAAAGTGTAATCAGAAGGAAATTAAATAATGAAATGGAAACAAATACACACGGCTTCCATGAGGAGTCAGAGCCTACATACGCCTTAAGTAAACTGTTGTTAAATACGACAGTAAATGTTCACCATTTTGTCCATTCATAAACTCATTTCTACCTAAATAATCTCTATAAAAATTTAAACATTTTATGGATTATGTTAATTTACCTAACAGTTAAATTTTGAGTTAAAATTCCTTTCCTGTCTGCCTGAATTTCAACTTACAACTTTCGGCCAGAACGTAGTTTTAGAATCGCGTTTGAAGGCAAATGAGGAGAAGTATTTAATCGTGAAGTTCTACTGACTTCGTTAGAGAGAACCAGTGATTCTGACTAGCGCGCTACTCTTTCTTAATTCTTTGAAAGCCGAAGTTTTCTCTAACCTGTATGCATAAAATCCCAAACCGCCCGAAAAAGGTTTTCGAGAGTCACAGCAAATTCCTCCCCTCCCCATCCCTTAACGCACAAAGAAGAGTGAAGATTTCAAATGTCATCCTGCCTACTTCCTAAAAAATAAAGATAAGAAATCACAAATAAATCCTTTTAGGACAAGCTGTCTGCAATAAACTGATACAATTCATTTGGGGAAACTGCACCTGCTACTGCGTACCTTAGAGGAGGGAAGAAAACAACATCGGAATTTCGGCCGTTTTGGGTGGTTGTGGTCGTTTGAATGAAAGGCCGTCTGGCGCGTTATGGTCTTCAAAGAGTTAAGCTATTATTACGCTCGGCCGCACTCAGGCCCTTGATAGATTCGCCGTTATTTAGAGCTAAGGGGCCAACTCTGTTAGAATTTCGATAGCTTCGGCTATATATTTTCGTTAAGATTAGTTAAGTTTTAGTTGTTATGGTAATTTCAACCTCCTTATGTGTTGTTCTCTATCTCACGAACTCAAGCGAAAATTCGCTGATCAGTTCATTCAGTTGATTCTTCAACTTCAACTGTAACTTAAAAGTACACAACACAGAATCGTACAACATAACCAAAGTGTATTCTACCAAAGTATATAACTTTTTACAACTGTTGCCTCTCAAAGCAAAACTAAAGGGAAAATAATACTACTGTGTATGAATGTATATGAACAATACTATACTTAACCTACTCCCACTTTTTGATAACAGGATTTTTATCAAAACAAATATTTAAGTAAAGTAAAATGTGTGGGATGGCATCGTTCATTATAATCGAATGACGCGACAAGCTGTGAGAATAAATCATTTACTTTTCCGATGATAGAAGCCAGACGATTCCGCCATTAAGACGATGATGCGACTGAAAGATGTTTGCATGTAAAAGAGGTCGATTCTTTTCATCTGTAAATATCATCTATTTCTTTCTACACATGTAATCATTTTGTAGTTTGTAGCAACTATTCATGTTTCATTAAATTATCGAGTTTTCCATAAAATCGGACTAGTTTATTAGCCCCTAGACAGCCACCTAACAAGTAAGTTTGCAGACATCCTATTCCTAGACAGTAAGTACCGATCCTACAGATTTGGGCGCTCAGGCCGCGATGAGCCTAGGAAGAATCATGATGAATATTACAAAAGAAAAGAAATAAGTTTTGTTTCGATTATTTCCCCTTTGCTTCTTGAATAGTCTTCTACGATACTGTAAATTAAGATGACTACCTTAAACTGACTCCAGAAACACAACTATTCTTTAACTTCACCGCCAAATTTGATTAGTTCAAATTTGGGAAGTTTTATTTTTGATTTCCCATTACTTAATATATTCCTGTTTGGCTGTGGTTTACTTTCTATAAAAGAATTCACGCGAACTATAGCTTCATCAAATTTGACTTTACATTCTTCTGTAGATTCAAATTCGGCAGCATAACTTTTACCATTATCGTCAGCACTTGAGGCAAGTTTTAAATTTTCGTTATTAAGCACTAATGCGTTATTAAGCACTAATGCGTTTCAGCACTAATGCGTTCTAAAGTAGCTAATGTAATCTTAACATCACTTAATTATATATTTTCATCATCAAGCAAGATATTAAACTTTTACATGGCTTAGTGAACGATGTTCGTAACGGAGATCGTTTTCTAACAAGATGCTCCATTGCAAACCAAACATTCAGTTAAGAGTTTCTTAGAACCTCTAATATCTTAATCAGATACTAAGGGTCAGCAAATGTTAGTTACGGCAGTAAATATTCACCATTGTCCATTCATAAACTCATTTCTATCTAAATAATCTCTAAAATTTAAACACAACCGAAAAAGTTTATTCAACCAAAATACGTAAAATTTTACAACTGTTGCCACTCAAAGCAAAACTAAAGGGAAAATGGTACTACACTGTTTGAATGTATATGAACAATACTATACTCAATAATACGTTAGACTAACTGTCTAATCAAGAACCCATACTCAATGATTACAAAAGAAGCTATATGACGCAAAAATTATATAAAAAATACGTAAAGCGCAAGATGACAATAAAACAAACAAAATTACTTCCCGTCCTTTCCCTTCAACTCACCTCCCCCTCAATTAAAAAAAAAAAAAAAAAAAACTAGAAACGTGTTGAATATTTTGAACGAGGTGACTTAAAATTTAAATAAAGCAGTTTTGGGCTAAATATTAAGAAAACTGCACCAATGCATCAAGGATAATCCATCGCATTAATTAAAATCGAACTTTATGCAATTCGAATGTGGGATATCCGTTATTTGCAAAATTAAAAATCATTATAATGAGGGAAAAAAGAAAAAGAAAATATATATATAAATATAATAAACCATTATTTTTTAAAATTTTGTTCATATTCTTAATGTAATTGCTATCTTTAAGTTAATTTATGTGAGTTATTTATAATATGATTTTGTTGCATACTGCATATTACAGAGAAAAATGTAAAGAATGCCGATGAAGAAAGCCATTCCTTTAAAGGGATCGATGCAAGAAAACTATTGGAAAGTCTTAGGTGTAAAAAAAAACTTTTCAAATTATGCACTTTATTTTAAGAATTATAATAAATGTATTTTATTTATTAAATGAATTGGATATCCAACACAATAATTCACTACTACCCAGCCTCGGTATTAATCGCATGGGCATCGATAAAATGTTTGTTGATTAAGGGGTCAGCTGGAAATCGATAGCCGAATATGCATAGGCAATTGATTGGCATAATTAAAATCCCACTGATTGCAAAAAAAAATAAAATCCATACTTAATTGCTTATTGATAGAAAACTATGTCATATAGTACGGAAAAAATCACATAAAGGGAAAACACACACTAAACTTCTTCAGCAATGTTTTCTAAAATGAATATTTTTTAAAAATTATTTTTGTCTCAATAAATGCAATACAAAAAACTAAAACGAAAGATTCTAGGAAAACATATTCTAGGAGCAAAAGGCGAGAAATACTCGAAACTGGAATAAAATACAACAAACATATTGAATATTTTTGAAGTATTGGGTTAAAAAATTAAATTAAGTAATTTTACGCCAAATATTTTTTTTTTTTTTTTAATTTGCATCACTACATCAAGTGCAGTCATCGCATTCATTGAAATCGAGCCTATCGTGCAATTAAAATCTGTGGCTTTGTTTCTAAAAAACCTGTTCATATGAAAAAGTAACAAAATTATAATGCTACTGTGTTTATATAATATAACTTGAAATGATTGAAAGACATGATGTTCAACTGAAAACATAAGAATATAAGGGCAAGTCTGTTTAACATTGAGTGATATCGCCAAGCTGGCGATGGTTTTGGCGACTAATTTTAGTCACCAAAATTGGGAAGAAATAGTCAAAATTCGAGAAATTTGGAAACCATTTGGCGACATTTGGGTTCGAACCTGGTAAAATTGTCATTGAATAAATAAATGTAACTGTTTCCTATACGTAACTGTAACCGAATTCGACCTCTCATTCGACCTCGTTCCTATAATTTCAAGAAATGAAATGCATAACGTTTTCTCGAAGGTCGGGGTAAAATATATCAGACCGGTGAGAGCATCAGATGTGAGTTGTTTAGTTCAGCGTGAGTGTGGAGTTTTGAGATATCCGTGAGAGCTTCGCTTTTCAGATGCGCTTTGCATTGCGTTGTGTTTAACATTCGTAATAATTTGAAGTGTAACTCTTGATTGTGCTCACTGGAGACTGAAATGAGCTGTACCAGTGCTTTCGTGGAAAGTTTTAGAACTATGAAATATTTCTCTCGGTAAAATAAATTTTATCAAGCTATCACCGATTCTGTGTGCATTCAATCCGTTACAAACCGATACGCACGCAACAATAATAATAATACAAAAAAAAATTGAAAGCTTTCAGATTTTACATTACGCCCAAAAGGGCGTTCTATTATCGTTTTGTGAGTTACCTTTATTATCATGTTCTTCGCACTTTAACCATAAAATTCAATTCAACAGCAATATCGCGAAATAATTTTAAAATGAGCCTATTTTTAGAATTTTTTTCGCACAGTGTTTCTATGGCTGGCCTTGAGATTGTTGAGTTTCTTAATCACAACTGTAATGTAAAATATGCACTAGATAATAAAACAAATTCAATTTAGCTTCCAG